TAGGCCTAGCCTTGAAGGGACGAAGGTCCCAATGAAAAACAACGTCGCTCTTTGATAGCTAACATTGTCTATTTAACATCACAATAATTCATTATTAGACCTATAGTTGTTTTTTGAATTGTACTCCACAAATCTCAGCCGGTACCTCGCACAACTCGAGTAACGTCTCGTATCTATTGTCGTGACGTCATGGCTCGCTGGCTCACACTTGGAATGTCTCGCACTTGTGATCAAATAACACGCTGGCTCGCACTTTGGCAACACTCTTTGGCAGTCAACTCGCCCCTAGAAAACCCGCCCTTGGAAACTTGCCCCATAAAAAAAATTACACTTCCTAGACCATGCGGTCTTCAAAATAAAAATTGTAACCTTTGGTAATCAACATTACATTTTCCACATACATAGAAATTTTTGAAACTTTATTAAAAAAAAAACCTAAACCATAATTCACCACTATAGACACTTTTTGATAAAAATGAAAAATTACGACTTTGTTACCCAATGAGAAGTGTTCTAATATAGACAATGGGTCGTGTCTCATATTATTAATATTTTTATTATTCATTATTTTCACTTGACTCGCATAAATAATTTTGTTCGAAGAACATTTATATGTAGTTGTACTTCGCAGCACTTCACTTGCAATTTGCAATTTCTAGTATATAATATTATATATGTATAAATATATATATGAACAGTGTATGTGTATTAGTTTGGTCTGATTAAGGTTTGATAAACAATGAAAGGGATTAAAGTGATAAACATAAAGTTAAGTAGCAACATTACACGGGAAAGATTTTTGCATGGTAGGAGGGGGTTAAAATAAAAACGATCCACTCGAGTTGGTTGAAAATTTATAGATACATTATATATACAATAATATATTATCTTAATATTTATAGTAACATCCCATCGCACTATTAATGAAATAAAGCTTGGCTTCCATACAAAATGTCAAACTCAAAGAGCTCAATCACCAAGAGCATAGAGGCTTGCCGCTTTTTCGCATGATGCGCTATACAAATCCAACTATTATTATTATTAATAAGTACACAGTCGCTAACAGCGTTTTCACTGCAATCCTTGTACTGCGTAGCTGTCTCTGATGCAATCGGAGACGCTCTCTGATTCAATTGACCAATAAGCCTTGCCAAAGGAGTCGGCGATAACGTTCAGCGATTTTGTTTTGTGGAAACCGAGCTATAAATGTAAAATTAAATGTAAAATTGTAAATTTATTTTAGATATAATGGTGTTAAAAACTTCAAAAAGGAAGTTTGGATGCAAGGGAATGTCAGTTTATAATAGGCCTACATCTGTTATTTCGGCAAATGTTGATATTTAACACATACAACAGCAACAAATAAGCAAATTGACAAACAGTGGCACACCCAAGAAAACAAAATGCCGCATTTATTTAAAAATAATGCAAAAATAAATTCTCTCTATCTAGTAAAATTTTGGCATTGAGGACGTTATGGAAAAAAAAAGAAACAAAAAAAAACAAACAAACAAACGAAAACACATTTAACAAAAGGATAAAATATGTGTTGGATTATAATTGTTTCCATTAATGTTTAAATAACATGAAAATCTTTAAAGCTATCAACTGTCTAGCTACAGAACAAATTCCAATATAATTTTCAAAAATAAGCTTTATTATACACATTATGTCATTGATATGGTTGAGAAAATAAATGTCACTATTGATAATTAGGTAAGATTGATATATGTTTCCAAGGATTCAATCTCCA